GACCCTAAACCACACCTGGGGACAGGTAAACACACCTGGTGAGCCCAGTGACACACCTGAGCTCACCTGTCCCCACCTGAGCTCACCTGGGCGTCCCTCAGGTCCCAGCCGTGGTCGCACACCGTCCCCCAGCGCCCCTCGTGCAGCACCTCCACCCTACCTGCGCACAGGTGCGGCCCGGCCGCCAGCCGCACCTCAGGTGAGCTGGAGTTACCTGTGGGGGATGCACAGGTGAGAGCCCGGCACCAGGTGAGGCTCACCTGGGCTGGAGTTACCTGTGGGGGATGCACAGGTGAGAGCCCAGCGCCCGTCTTAAAGGAGCCCCTGCCTCACCTGTGCACACCTGGACTCACCTGTGCACACCTGGACTCACGTGAACTCACCTGTCCTTACCTGACCTCACCTGTACTCACCTGTCTTCGCCTGAACTCACCTGTCCCTCACCTGTCCACGCACACCTGTTCACACCTGTTCACACCTGTTCACACCTGTTCACACCTGTCGGGGCTCACCTGCGCACACCACCCCCGCGTCCTCCCCGTGCCGGCAGTTGTTCTCCCCCCAGGTGCGGTGGGCGCACCTGAAGAAGTCGCGCTCCTTCCCTGTGCAGGTGACGTCATCGAGCCAGATTGGCCCCGCCCCCTGGCCGTACCTGGCGGCCCCCGGCGCCTCCAGGGCGTGGCCGCAGCCCAGGTGAGCGCAGAGCACCTGAGCCTGCCGCAGGCCCCAGCCGTCGTCGCACACGGTGCCCCACAGGTGAGCGCGCAGCACCTCCACGCGCCCCGCGCACCTGTCGGGCGCACCTGAGAGCCGCACCTGGGGAGCCGCGCCCGCGCCGGGCTCTGGGGAGGGAGGGGAGAGGGGGAGGGGTCACCTGGGGGGGTCATGGGGGTGGGACAGGTGTGGGGACAGGGACAGGTGAGGGGACAGGTGTGGGACAGGTGTGGGGGCAGGGACAGGTGAGGGGACAGGTGTGGGACAGGTGTGGGGACAGGGACAGGTGAGGGGACAGGTGTGGGACAGGTGTGGGACAGGTGTGGGACAGGTGTGGGGGCGGGGACAGGTGAGGGGACAGGTGTGGGACAGGTGTGGGGACAGGGACAGGTGAGGGGACAGGTGTGGGACAGGTGTGGGGGCGGGGACAGGTGTGTCCCCAGGTGTGTCCCAAATGTGTTCCTATCCCCAGGTGTGTCCCAGGTGTGTTCCCCACCCCCAGGTGTGTCCCAGGTGTGTCCCCAGGTGTGTCCCAGGTGTGTTCCTGGTGAGCCCCAGGTGTGTCCCACATGTGTCCCCAGGTGTGTCAAAGGTGTGTCCCTATCCCCAGGTGTGTCCCAGGTGTCCCCAGGTGTGTCCCCAGGTTCTCTCCCCTCCCCCCCTCACCTGTCCCACCCGTGATCTCTCACCTGTCCCCTCACCTGCGCACACGGCTCCGGCGTCCTCTCGGTGGCTGCAGGTGTGCGCCCCCCAGGGCCGGGAGGGGCACTCGGCCAGGTGAGCCTCGTTACCTGCGCAGCTCAACCTGTCCAGCCAGATGGGCCCCGCCCCCTCCCCGAACTGCGCCGCACCTGGCGCCCAGAGGGCGGGGCCGCAGCGCACCTGGCGGCAGCTCACCTGCGCGTCCGGCAGCTCCCAGGCGTCGTCGCACACCGTGCCCCACCTGCCCGCGTGGAACACCTCGACGCGCCCCGCGCACCTGTGCGGGCCCCCGGCCAGGCGCACCTGGCCCTCCTCGGGCGCACCTGGGACACGCAACGGGGACAGGTGAGCTCGGCTGGGGGGGACAGGGCTCACCTGGGGCTCACCTGGGCTCACCTGGGGGTACCTGGGGGTACCTGGGGGTACCTGGGGGTGTCACAGACTCACCTGAGGGTGTCGGGGTCACACCTGGGGACACGCCTGGAACACGGAACATGGACAGGTGAGCTCACCTGGGAACCAGGACCTCACCTGGGGGTGCCAGGGGCTCACCTGGGCACCCCAGGACCTCACCTGGGCACCTGGGGCTCACCTGGGGGCACCAGGGGCTCACCTGGGCTCCAAGGGCTCACCTGGGCTCCAGGGGCTCACCTGGGGGTGTCACAGACTCACCTGAGGGTGCCAGGGTCACACCTGGGGGCACACCTGGAACATGAAATACAGACAGGTGAGCTCACCTGGGCACCCCAGGAACTCACCTGGGCACCAGGGCCTCACCTGGGCAGCAGGAGCTCACCTGAGGGTTCCGGGCTCGCACCTGGGGGCACACCTGGAACGCGGAACACGGACAGGTGAGCTCACCTGGGCAGGGAACACCGCCCCAGCCAGGTGTGGGCACTGAGCAGCAGCCCCACCTCACCTGGGGGTGCCAGGAGCTCACCTGGAGACACCTGGGGCACACCTGGAGACACCTGGGGCACACCTGGGGGTGCCAGGGTCGCACCTGGACGCGGCTGGGATGCACCTGGAACACGGAACATGGACAGGTGAGCTCACCTGGCTGCTCCAGAGGCTCACCTGGGCACCAGGGGCTCACCTGAGGGCACCAGGGGCTCACCTGGGAGTGCCAGGGGCTCACCTGAGGGCACCGTGGTCACACCTGAGCGTGTCAGGGCCTCACCTGGAACACAAAGCGTGGGCAGGTGCGCTCACCTGGGGGGGGCACACCCACCTCAGCCAGGTGTGGGCGCTGATCACCAGCAGTGCCTCACCTGGTGACACCTGGGGCTCACCTGGAGACACCTGGGGCACACCTGGAGACACCTGGGGCTCACCTGGTGACACCTGGGGCTCACCTGGGGCTCACCTGGGGCTCACCTGGGGCTCACCTGGGGGTGTCAGGGACTCACCTGGTGGTGCTGGGTCCTCACTTGAAACACACAGGGGGGCTGGGCAGGTGTCCCCAGGTGTGCCCCGGGTGTCCCCAGGTGTCCCCAGGTGTGTCCCCAGCTGTCCCCAGGTGTGCCCAGGTGTGCCCAGGTGTGTCCCCAGCCCCCCCAGGTGTCCCCAGGTGTCCCCGTGTGTCCCCAGCTGTCCCCAGGTGTGCCCAGGTGTGTCCCCAGGTGTCCCCGGGTGTCCCCAGGTGTGCCACAGCAGGGTCCCACAGGTGACTCACCTGGCTGGGCACAGGTGAGGGTGGCGTGCGGGCAGTAGGGGGCGCCCCACAGCCTCACCTGGCACTCGAGCAGGCTCCACTCGCTGCCGTTACACCTGAGTGACTCCACCCAGGTGAGCTCCTCCCTCCCGACGCTCACCTGGCCGGCCCGGAGGGCGGGGCCGCAGCCCAGGTAGCGGCAGGTGACGCGGGCGGCGGGCAGCGCCCAGGTGAGGCCGCAGACCCCGCCCCAGCGCCCCTCGTGCAGCACCTGCAGCCGCCCGGCGCACCTGTGCGGGCCCTCGGCCAGGCGCAGGTGAGTCAGGTCAGCCAGGCCAGAACCCGCCCGGGACAGGTGGGCACACGGGAGGGA